ACACACACACACACACACACACACCTCTTTGCTTTGCAGGATGACTCATCTTCTATTTCCTGTTCCCTGCTCTCAGCGTTGCTCCTCTGTTTTCTGTCCTCTGTCTGACCTTTGTCTCTCCTCCTCCTCCTCCACTTTTCTCTTTGACTCCTCATCTATGACTTAACTTCTGTTTATTCCAAAGCAACATTTTTAAATCTTAATGTTTCCGTCCTCTGAGCCTCAGTGACCAAACGACTTCTTAACAGCTAGATCACTCGATTGACAGAAATTATGTATTTGCCAAATAGAAAATTTCAGCTGCATAAGTTTAACGATTCGCTCTTTTTTACTAACGTCGTCTATTGAAGACTCGTCCAGTGACACGTTCGTCCTCTTTTCATCTGGAGATCGTGGTTTTATTCTTGAGTTACTTCTAGTTTCCTGTGGGACTTGTTTGCTTGTCTCCACTTCCTGTTGGTCTTCAGGTGTTTTCCGAAGGTTCTGATGAATGAGCCGAGGTGATGAAGTTGTGTCTCTCTCTCTCTCTCTGCAGCTGTAACTGTAACTCGTCCATGCCCAGAGCGGTGAAGGTGGCGGCGGTGGGCAGCCAGAGTTACCTCGGAGCCATCCTGCAGTTCTTCGTCACTCAGCTCGCCAACAAGACGTCCGACTGGCTCAACCACATGCGCTTCCTGGTGGTGCCTCTGGGTAAGAGAGTCCACGTGTGACTGAGGCTCTGTTTCCTGTTTTTTGTGTCTGATTTTTTTCCAACCCGTCCGTCCATCCTCTTCATCAGGCTCCCATCCCGTTGCCAAGCACCTGGGCGCCCTCGACAACCGCTACAGCTCCTCTTTCCTGGACGGGCCGTGGAGAGACGTGTTCAGCCGCTCTGAGCCGCCACAGACAGGTACCACCTGGCGCCACAGGCTCGTCGGCTCAACACAGACATTTACCTGAAGTCCATGAGAGAATTCTTCTGTTTGTCTTTAGACCAGCTGGACGTCGCAGGAAGAATCTCCCAGTTCATCAGCGGAGCCACCGTCACACATCAGCTGCCCATCGCTGAGGCCATGCTCACCTGCAAACACAGGACGTGAGTACGGACGCTAACAAGCACAGACAGACGTTTGATAGCTTGTATTTCCTGTGTTTAGCTGCTTCAGACATTTTCCTGCGCGGAGTTACAGGTGGAAACTTCTCATGATGGATGTGAAACTGGAAGAACGTCTCGGGATGAAGACGAGGAGTTAAACACGTAGAAGACGCAGACAGAGTTTCCTGTTGCATCTTTAACGTTTCTCTTTCTTTCCCCTCAGGCGAGATGAAGACTCTTACCAGAAATTTATTCCTTTCATTGGGGTAAGACGTTCCTCTGGGAAACATTAACTCTCGTTAGCTTGAAGCTGCAGAGCGAGCGCTGTTCATGGATTTTCTGATGACGTGTGTTTTGCAGGTGGTGAAGGTCGGTCTCATCGAGTCGGGTCCTTCTCCGTCAGGTGAGAATTCAGAAACACAAACGGCATCAAATCTAAAGATGCATTAGTTTGGATTCCGCAGCTGAACGGTTTCTAACGTTATTCCTGTTTCCTGGTTGTTAAGGAGACTCAGAAGAGGGCGTGGCCGTGAGTCTGGCCGTCCCCTCCACGTCTCCGCCCTCCCATGGTTCCCCCACAGGGATGATCAAGGAGGCGGCCACGCCCCCCTCCTCCCCCTCCATGGGAACTGTCCTGGCGGTGCAAGGGTAAGAACGACCCGCCCTGTTTTTATTCCTCCTTTCATTACTCGTCTTTTTCTCTTTCTTTGTCTCTCCCCTCGTCCCTCACCTGTCTCCCCTCATCCCTCACCCGTCTCCCCTCATCCCTCACCCGTCAGGTTAGTACCCTGTAATCTGAACAATATCTTTATGACAATTTAAGTATTCCAAAAAAACACAGAACAATTTTGCAGAGGTTTTAGCAGTGAGATGAAAATATGAACATAATGTTTTGAATTATCATGAAGTTAAAGTAATGCCTGCAGGGGGCGCTGTTATGCGCTGTTGTGTGTTTGTTCTAACTACGTTTGTTTCTACGTCTGCTCAGGAGTCCCAGCATGTCTCACGGTGTGGACGCCATCGGCCTGCAGGTGGATTACTGGCTGGCTTCGCTGGCTGAGAAGCGGCGGGAGGGCGAGCGACGCGACACGGGCTGCAAGAACACGCTGAAGAGCGCCTTCCGCTCGCTGCAGGTCAGCAGGTTACCAGGTGGGGGCAGCAGCGACACACAGGCTCAGGTCAGCACCATGGCCATGACTGTGGTCACCAAGGAGAAGAACAAGAAAGGTGAGAGGAAGTTAGACAGTGACTCCCAGTTTATCATTACTGGATTTAAACTGAACACACACACACACACACAGACACACACACACACACACACACACACACACAGTAACGTCCTGTTAAGAAGACGTCTCTGTCCCTCCTCAGTTCCCACCATCTTCTTGGGGAAGAAGCCCAAGGAGAAGGACGTGGACTCAAAGAGCCAGATCATTGAAGGCATCAGCCGACTCATCTGCTCTGCCAAGCAGCAGCAGACCATCCTGAAAGGTAACGTGAACATTACCCATGATGCAGCACCTCCGTTGTTGTTGTCGCTCTCTCTCTCCTCAATGTGTCTCGTCTCTTTATCTGTTTCCCTCCAGTGTCCATCGACGGCGTGGAGTGGAACGACGTGAAGTTCTTCCAGCTGGCCGCCCAGTGGCCCTCTCACGTCAAATATCTACCTGTCGGACTTTTCGGCTACAGCAAGCCCCCCTCCTAGGAGTGAGCGCCCCCGCGACTCCCTTGACCCGGTCTGGACCTTGGACTCTTCTCGTCCCTGTCCCACGCAGACCCTGCGGAGGGAAGACGTCGAGTGGACAGGCGACTTTTCTTTGGTTTCACGTTCGCTGCACTCGTCTTAATTCTCTTTGGGGGAGGGGTAGGAGGAGGAGTTTTGGGGTGCAGCGCTGTTACTGGTGACGTTACCGCCCCCTGTCCGTGTGTGTGGCGAGTGAACACGTGAATGTACAGTGTGTGTATGTGTGTGTTTACAAGGGGCTTACAGCACAAGTTTATTCGCTAACTGCCATTTACGTTTCCGTTCTATGGAATGCAACAGCATGCAACAACTCACCGATCTCACGCCCCCTGACCCTTGACACCTTGACCCCTGACCTTTGGTGAAACCCTCGAAGGTCACGCCCAGCGACCTGATCCACACATGCATGCGCCGAACTCACAGATACACCACTCATGTGCCGTACACAAAATAAAAAGTGATGCAACAGGGCTTCAGTGTTCGCATGAGCCAATGAAAACACAAACGTCTGCTCACTAAATGCAGCCAATAGCAGGCAGGCATGTGACGAATATATACTCCACATCAATATAACACACGCCCTTCACAGCAGGCCCAGACGTCTTTCTTATTTATTTCAAGGGCTTCCATTTAACTCTTTAAAATACTTCTTCTGTACCAATACAAGTCACTTCAATGTCTCCAGCCAAATGTTTCCTTTAAAAACTAGAAAAAATGAAAATATATTCAAGGGAAGTGTCTTTTTGTTGAAATTGTGCTCTTGTGAAAAATAGTTGAACCTTCCCTTTCATGCTGTTGTGTGATGCTTGTGTACTTTTATTGTGAAGAGTTCCAGGATTTCAGTGCAGGGGCTACTGTAACGTGCAGTTTCCTTTATCGTCTCATTTGCTATGCACATGTGGCCCATCGCTGAACCGCAGACCCGTCCTCATATGCAACAGGAAACTGAAACAGCAAAATGCATATTTAAAGGAGACGTGAGGCTTTTTACAACAACCAGAGCGTCACTCGGTGGAGCTCTACCTCCGCTCTGCCTACGCCAAGGCCCAACAGTCACCTGATGAAATGAAATTCACCGGATCTCACACAAACATCGGTCCCTTAATTATTATCTGAGAAATCTGTGAAAATCTCACAATCTTAAAGACAGTGACGACAAGTTCCTGGATGTGCACTGTGTGATACCACATGTGTCCAGCAGGGTGTCATGTGTCATCACCCAAATCAAAATGATGAACCTGAATCTGAGTCTCCTTCTAAACATCCAACACTCAGCAGCATTGACGGGAACATGTTCGGAGAAGCGTTTTCTCTCCCAGGACGAGCCCTGCTCATCTCACGAGTATTCACGCGACAAGAACGGGAGTTAATCGCCCGCGATAAAGCACAATGTAGTCGCCACCCACGATATCTGCTCTTTAACGGGAGCTGAACCAGCAGCTTTGTCTGAAACCTGGGGGATAGTTCAATAAATAAAACAGTGTTTGGTTTTGTTACAGGTCTGCTTCATGCTTTCTGTCGTGAGGTGATTAGTGAGTGTAGTTACAGGTAACGTGTGTGTGTGTGTGTGTGTGTGTGTGGTGTGAAGTACATTTACTGTGGTCGGAAACCTTAAAGAAAAATCACTAAATAGGAGAAAAACTTTTTCTACCGTGTGTGTGTGTGTGTGTGTGTGTGTGTGTGTGCGTGTTGATGATGATGATGATGATGATGATTCTGCTAAAGCTGCATTCTGGTCTTGTTTACTTTGCAGGTGAACAGATTTCTTTCCAAAACTACAAATAAATATTCTGACAAAAAGAAGTTCAGGTTCAATCATTTGATTGAACCGTGGATTCTTGGTTTATGATGTTCAGCAGGACGACGTCGTGTGTCACCTGCATCGTAACATCTCCGGTGAAGTATTAGCATCATGTGTTTGAATAGTGTTGATGCCGGTGTCTTGACTCAAATGTCTCGTTTGATCGATAATAGATTTGTTTCTCCTCCTGTGTCAGTGTCACAGTCGTGATGTCACCAGCGTCTCCTCCGCTCGTCTGTCACCCTCCATCCATCGCTTCTAAGTACTTCCAGATATTTGAATGTATTGAGTTTACACATGCGTCTTCGTGAACCACTGATGTGACGGCACCAGTAGTTGTACCACCTGCTCCACTGCCTCAGAACAGAGGCCCAAACTGGGAGATTGGTTTTTGTGGTACCACTGAAATAACCCGGACTTATACAGAGTGAATACTGGACTCAGATCCACGTCCACAAACACAGAACTAAGTAAATAAAGATGGAGGCCGTGTCTCCACACTAGAATCAGCCTCGACTAACTCAACATGCTCTGGTCGCTCAAGTTACTGCAATAATGGGAATTAAAGCTTTTCCCGAGTTCAACCGACGAACTGAAAACGGGAAGATTTCCAGATGTGTGGGTGTGTTCGGGGAGCGGATCCAATCAAACACATTATGTGCTTTTCCATCGCAGCCTCGTTCTGTGGTTTTTCTCGTCTCCGTCCCCTTGAGACGATCCTTCATTGCGTCCCTTTGAAAACGCTGGTTGTCCTGTATCTTGAACTCGTTCCTGTTTCTTCCTGTGCCTCTGTGCGTACCCGTGTCGACCCGTGTTTCGTGACTATGGTTCCTTGACTATTCGTGGTTAGAGATCAGGAGCTGTTGGTGTGATGACCTCTTGTCCACCGTCCTCAGAGTTATGTCCGTGTGTCGTTGACAGCGTCCTCGTCTTTGAGCTCTGAAAACTCGTTGTTCCCGTTCCCTCGCAGTTTTGTAGATCTGTCCTCACGGGAATGGCGGTTTCGCCTACGAGAGCGTCTGTCGACTCGCAGGGAAGCGTCCGAAGCTAGTGGAGAGTATTTTTGCACATGCCATTGTTCTTCAGCTTTTTTCGCCTTTTGCCTATAACTATATCAAACAAACTATGATGCTTGTACATATCAGATGGTACTTGTTATATTGTATTGTACTTCTATCTCTTTTGCTGTTTTTCTTAATTTCACATGTTTTGTAGTACGGCATTTCTATGATTACGTTTGTCAATCAAACCGACGTGGGATGAAAAGTGTTCATTGTTTCATTTGTTTTTTAAAATAAAAATATTCCTGATTTGTATCTCTGTCTCTGGTTCTTTGTTAAATATACACGATATATTATAAAAGTCTGTATATTCATAGACTCGAAGTCTCAGCTGTCAATCAATAGTGAACAACTCAAAGAGAAGTAAACACAAATAAGCTCCAGAACATCAGCGTGAAAAAAACAGAATCCATCTTTGAGAAACATTTATTTATTTACTTATTTTGACTTTTTGCTTTGGTCCACATCCCATCCACTAACATGGAGGAGGCAGGGTTTGTGACGTAATGGCTTAGTTATCCTCACTAATTGTGGTAAGATTGTGATATTTGTTATAATATTAAAACACTGAAAGAACTGATGGAACACTCCACAGGGGGGAATCCAGAGTTTGGAGATGCTAGCTCACTTAGCACTCAATTACTAGCAGGAGCACTTCCGGGAAATGGTGGGCGTGAATCATCTTGACACTTAGCTTCGTCTTCGGTGACGCGTCTCTGAGAGAACAGCCATTTTCCAACTTTAGACATCTACGACCTCCTGGTTGTTTACTGGTTACTCACTGGTTACTCACTGGTTGTTTACTGGTTACTCACTGGTTGTTTACTGGTTA